AAGCAATATTAGAAACAATCAAATTTAAAATTTCACTAAAGAATTAAAAAAACCTACAAATAAGTTTAACCAGAAATGAAAGAGTCATCTATACTGAAAGCTATAACATTAATTAAAGAAATAGAATGTCAGTCCATGTTCATCGTTTAGAAGAATAAAAATTGTTAAGATGTCTTTATAAACCAAAGTAATTTTTGCATATTCAGTGCAATTCCTATAAAGATTCTAATCACATTTTTCTTAAAAAGAGACTAAAAGATCCCAGATAGTTAAGCTGTCATGAAAATCAGAGATCAACACATCACATTTCCTTCTTTCAAACTATACTACAAATTTATAGTAATCAAAATAGTATGGTACTGTCATAAAAACAGAAATACTTCAATGGACAAGAATTGAGTCCACAGAAATACACCTATGCACATATAGTCAATTTATAATAAAGCATATAAGACAAGATTATATCAGTAGGGAAAAGCTAGAAAGCTACATGCAAAAGCATAAAACTCAAGCACTGTCAAAAATTAACTCAAAATGTATTAAAGCCTTCAATGTAAGACCTAAAACATTAAAACTATTTGAAAAATACATAAGTGGTAAAATCTTTGACACTTAGCAATTTTGTAGGGGTAGGAGAGATGTGTTGACTCTAAAAGCAAGGAAAACAAAGCAAAAATAAAGGAATGGAATCATTTCAAATTATAAAGATCCTGTACTACTAAAATAACTAATGAAATCCAATTTACTAAAAGAAGATATTCATACATCATGTGCTCAATAATAGGTAAGAATATATAATATCAAAAATGGGAAGAGAGTCTGAAAATGTCACAAAAAAAGCTAAAAATAACAAGTGTTAGAGAAAAAGTGAAGCTCTATAAGTTGTTCTTAGGAATGTAAATTAGTACAGCCACTATGAAAAACGGTGGAGATTCTTAAAATAGAACTATAACATCAATTTCGTTTCTAGATAGTTATTTAAAGAAAACTTAGAATCATTAGGGCTGGAGCAATAATACAGTGGGTAGGTAGCTTGATTTGCATGTGGCCAACCAAGGTTCACTACCCAGCACCTGGTATGGGCCCCTGGGCACTGCCTGAAGTGATCACTGAATTTGGAGCTAAGAGTAAGCCCTGAGCACCACTGATTGTACCCTACCAAACAAAAAACAACAAAAACTTTACAATAACTAAAAATACATTTCATATATTCATGGCAGAAATATTTTCAAAAACTCAAGATAATAACGCAACCTAAGTATTCATTGACAGATCAATTGATGAAACTGTGATATGTGTGAGTATATGCATATGTATTTATGTGTGTATTGGTGTATATACATTCACACATATGCATATATATGTGCACATATATACAATGAGATGATACATAGCCATGATTAGGCATGGGCTTACGAGTTCAATGCTATGTGATGTAGCTCACTGGTAGAGCACTTGCCTTGCATGTATGACAAGAGTATGACAGAGTATAATTTTCAACACACACACACACACGAGATTACCATCCTCCCCAGAAACATACAACTTGGGAGTTTCTATGATGTCTGGAATTATTGACAGTCTATTCTGAACCACTCTTATTTAATACAGTAAAGATGAAAAAAAAACTAGCTTCCTCATAGTCAGGACCTCATAATCAGTTCAGGAAGGTATTATTAATAGAACGAACAGGACAGTTTATCAGGGAACCATCTTTCTCCTTTTCTTACAACTTGGGAATAAAAGGACATGCTTAAAAATGTTTTGGGAATAGATCTATATTGCTGCCAAAATCACTATTTCTGATTCTCAGTTTTATATCTGTGTAACTAATGTAAGCAAAGAAGGAAGGTCCAAACTTATATTGAAAAAGCAGAATTAAACAGTATTCATGGGGATTGTATTCCAAAATCATCCTGGTGTAAATCATTCTGTACAGAGTTTTTCATAAGAGCTCAGTACATTAAGAGAGGGTTCCCTATTGTGCATATGAAAGAGACTAAAATTTGGATTAACTCAAAATTCCTTTTCTCTTTACTTTAAAGGGTTAAAATATGAAAGCAGAGGAACTTCATTAGAGCTTCCCATCTGTAAAACCAATCAGTGTTCAGAGATCATTATTTTGAGTACTGTTTTCTGCAGCATTTCATACAGCCATGCCAATAATGGTGCTTATATACACCACCACTTTAAATATTCTCCTTCCAAGAGCCTCATAAAGTGCACAAGCTCATTGTTTCCTGCCTCTGTATAGCTGCAGATGTAATGAACACGTATCATGTCTCAAGTCCTGAACTGGAGGCCAATCTAAACCCGCTCCATAGCCGACCTTGCTACTGCCTCCCAGTTCTCCCTCAACCAGTTCCTTTCTGCTGCAAGGAAAGAACAGCAACAGCGCCCTCCACAGCCTGGTGGTGGATGGCTGGCTCTTTGCAACACCAGATCACAGAACTGTGAGGAGAGAGAACAGTTTGCTGGACCCGAATACAAAGTTTTTCCTGTTTAACCCCATCAGATATTACCTTAATGTCTTGAGGTACAGCAGCTAGTTCTTTTTTTATTTCAAATCTATATTGTGGAATCTGAACCCTCGAAACACCCATCACTATCCAAATAAAAAAACATCAACCCACCAAACAAAAATCCCCTCTATGAATCTTGCTAACAAAACAGAAGAATGTCTACTAATGGCTGGGAAATAAATTCTTTCTTTCCTGCTGCTAGGACCACAGAATAATGAGGGCTCCCAAACTCTCTCTGCAGCAATAAAACAGGAAGCACAGGCTTTGCCTTTTGATGTGTTCCAGTTTAAAAGTTTAGAGCTGATGCCTTTTCATCCTTAATTTATCTTTTCTTGTAAATATTTCTGTACCATTTTCAGTATCTGAAGTTTATACATTTTCCAAAAAAATAACTCACTCTTTCTCCTATTTCGGTTGTTTAACTTTATATTATGGGTCAAGTTTTGGGCTAAATAAACATACCTCAGGCTACAGCTCTGCAAATACCTCTGGCAGCAAATTAACTCAAACAAATGTTTTGGTTGGGCTGTGAAGCTGTTTTTTAATGATCTTCCTGATCTGCCTACAGGTCCAAGGATAGACTAGGTAAACTCTGAGGATTTTCTAACTTCATGTTTTCTGCCCCATTAAAATACAGTTCTCAACGTTGGTGGAGAGGTTGGTTTATAATTTTACCACCAGAGGGTGCTACTTGTTTGCTCTCATTTCCTTAACTGACTGGAAATGCTATCAAAGAATCATTCCTAGGCCAGCCAGCATTACCCAGGAAAGGATTTTGTAAGATCTGCAGTCAGTGCTCTAATTCAAGGAATTGTTTTCAAACCTTACTTTTGACACTGTGTTTAAAACAAAAACTGGACATCCTTGCAACTGCACAACCAAACTGAACTGATGCATATATTTGTCATGAACTAAACAGAGAACACAAATCACTTTCAGTCTTATGCCTTTTGTTCGGTATTTACTCACCACATTAGCAGTATTGAACCCAGAATAGTAATATCTTATTCATCATAACAAAAAAATAAAGTAGGACAACAATCTGTAAAGTATAATAGCAGTGTTATTATCTCACAATGCGACTTTCATTTATCTAATTTCAGTATACATATCCCTCTTTTGCTTTGGTACAGTTTTTACTGCTTGGAAGTATTTTTACTTAGCACCTTCAATGAATCTAATTATGTAAATATGAGTTACTGGGATTTTCATGCAAATTTTTCACTTGGTAATTTCTGGGGAGCCTGGAAGTAGATATATAAAGTACTCTAGCAAAAGTCTCCTGAAAAGACGTCTTTTACTTTAAGTTCACCATTTCAAAGGCCTGGCAGGCAGAGACCCTCCTTTCTAAGATAATGAACTGTGACCAGGTGCTCTAGAGGACCTACCTCTGCTCCATTCTGCCCCACAGTTCCTAGAAGTGGCGTTGAGACCCCTGTCTAATCAATTTGACCCAATAAGACATACATTCTGTGCTTCTGTCACCTAAATTTCCAGAACTGACCACAATACGCCCTTCCCAGGATAGGCACAAGTTGTTTCGTTATCTTTATCTGATTAGCTTAGAACATGTCATATTTGATCCAAATTATTATATGTATTTATTGTACTTCCTATGTGATTGGCATCTCCTGTTCACCCCCTCACAGAACTAATCTGTTGAAAGCAGAAGTTTCCCCGCCAAAAGCACCCAAAATCTATGCCATAATTATGCTAGACAAGTCACTTTCTTTGGAGGCCTCCACTGTGTCACTAGACACAGTGGACTATATCCCTTTGATAAAACTGGTTGGTTCATGCTCAAACCATCTCGCTCTTCATCAATTCTTTTACCACCCCTTGGCCTGGACCCAGAAAGGCCTCTCAACCCTTCAACATAAGTGTATTTACATTTACTTATGAGGAACTTGCTTGGAAATAATTTTAAATCATAGTAAGAAATCAGTATATTGTCACTTGAATTAGTAAAGCAAATAGGGGTCAGCAAAGTTTTTCTATAAAACACTGGGTTATACTGAAGATTTTAGGGTTTTGTGATCCTTACATTCCCATTACAACTATTCAACCCTACTAACATTTAGACTAAAATGAATAGATATGATTATATTCCAGAAGAATATTCTGAGGAATCACTGCTAGATTGTAGTTGCTGTCTCCTACTAATGATAAATATCTACTTCTGGTGTCAATAATCGTTGAAATTTGATCGTGGCATTCTTTGATGGTGTTCTCCCTCCTTACAGTTTGACAACATATGCTCTCAAATAACTTAAAGCAGGTTTCCCTTGGAAGAGCACCACTGTGGTTCTTTTCTAGAGCTTTCATATTTAGAGCTAAAGGAGTCCTAGGTTTTCACTGTGTAAGTATTTGTGTCCTGTGAATATCCCACGGTAAGATATGAAACCGGCAAGAAGAACACAAGTCTTTGGATATTTCTACAAAGGTTACATGGAAAGTAAATGAAAAGACATAGTTCACCTTCAGAATGATGCGTGGCCAGAGGAGTCTGCGTCTCTTTGGAGTAGGACACTACTTCCCTGGGCAGGAAATCCACTTGAGTAACCTTCGACACACCCAATTTATGCAGTCTTCGCCTAGAAGTTAACAAAGGACAAACACTGAGAAAGAGAAGGCGTTTCTTATAGAAGAACTCTCAGTAGTGAGACTCAAACTTCCAACACACTCAGTTTCTCAGACTGTGGAGCAGTATTAGCCCTGGGTGAGACATCAGCACATCTTGACCCATTTGTTCCCTAATTTGCTGGGTGATAACAGGTGGTTCCCTTATGACTTCTATCAGAAAACATGGTCGTGATTTAGTTCAAATGAGACCCCTCCCACACTGGGCATACTGAGCTTGCTTGATTGACATTTATAAAGGAGGATTACATTTTCAATATAGGATTTTAGGCTCCTAGGTGAGAGAGGCAAAAGGAAAGTCAAGCTTGTCAAGTCTGAAAGAAAGCAAGACAAATCTTTAATGGAATTTTTTTTATGCTAGCTGTGACAGAATTGTATTCCAAGTGGGAGAATAACAGCTCTCACAGGAAAGGAACTGACACAGATAAGCAGGTAGGTAAAACCTTGTTGAGAGAATACTGATAAGTAAGTCTACATGATAAAGTTTCAGCTTCATATTTTAGAACTGTGTGAATGTGAAAAATCATTTTAAAAATATTTATGGAGCATTTTAGGTGTTTTCAGGTCCCTTAATGCCCAGCAGTAATCTATTTTCATAACATCTCTCTAAAATATATGGGCACGTCATTTTAATTTTTAGATGAGGGTGAATTCAGTATAAAAACATCAATGTAAACTGCTAAAATCCTCTGGGCCTGAGTCCTGGTCAAATGCTTTTTCCATCAAGCCAAATTCGTATCTGAGTTTCTTATAGTGCTCTACCCCTCCACCCCCCCCCCAAATCTGTAACGCCCCTTGAGTCACCCAGAAAACAATTGTGGAGGCAACCTAGTATTGTGGTTAAGAACACTTATAAACTTATGAGACATGTCTGTGATCTTGAACAAGTACCTAATTTTTCTGTGACTTAGTTTCCTCATCTATAAAATGAGGGCTTAAACTGTTGTAATTTACATGAAAATAAGTGACAAATACATGGAATGTAGATACTGCATGCAGTTATATTTATACCTAGCTGATGTACAAATGATGGGCAAATGATATCCATAAATTTATAGACATCAGTATCTTAAAGCAACTTCTGAACATTTTTGGTATATAGATTTGATATTATTACATAAAAATGGACATTCCATTTCATAGGCATAAATTATCTGAGTGTCATATATGTATGGGGGCACAGGGAGGGAAGGAGGGAGAGAGGTAAAGGTGAAGTAACAGAGGCAGAGGTGAAATAGCCATTTTGCCCAAATCTCACACTAGCTCTTTAGAGCTCAAGAAACACATCCTATCCCATTCTAATATTAACAGATGGCACGCTTTATTTTTATCATATGTAGTATAAAGTGAAAGATCACATATCACAGCTATAAATTTCAACCCATAATTTCCTACTTATTAATAGGAGACAAAATTTTTTCTGTGTATTGGAACAATATAGGACCGAAGATTTCCCACAGATGAAAGACATCAGAATCGCAGCATGGCATGTGTGACAAGAGCTGCACACAGGCCTGGATGGAACAGGCTATGTTCCCTCAGGAAGCTAGTCACAAAAGTGTAAAAGGAGGTGAATGGCCCCCCGCAGAATTATGGGGTAAAACACAGAAAGTGTACTAGAAACAAAATTACTAAATAAAGCAAGAGGGTCAAGGTTTCAAAGGGAATCTAAGGCAATACTTTAAACTTGCCTTAAATTAGGAATGGATGTTTTTCCACTTGGAGTAGCTCTGTTTTATCAGAAGAAAACATGAATAGATATGCCAGAACTGACTAAGGCAAAATTCCTCTCCTGTTTAAGAGTCAGGGCATCTTTCTAAGTTCCCAAGAGTATGCATCAATATGCATCACCAGGAGATGGAAAAGGCGAAGAAGAATCCCCTTCCCAACTCCACACCTACCCATTGCTTTAAATTACTCCCTACCTGACATGGCGAGATCATACTGGATCCAAGAATGTCATGGATCTGTGTGAGGTGAAAAGGTCTCCCCATCCCACAGAGGCACTCATATCTGCAGGCAGGGGTTCCAGGGCATCGTGCTGATGGACTTAAGCAAGAGGCCTGTATGTTGTGTGCCAAGCAGCAGGCACTAGGCAACAAGACTTGCTGTTCTCTAATTTGGTAATCTCCCAGAGCAAATACAAACCAACTAGTGAGATGGTATAGGATAATGCTGACATCCTGTACTTATAAAGGAATAAAGGAATGGAAATTTGGGTTTAAATCTCTGATCACTTACCAGTTGAATAGTAAGTAAAAGACTTGGATAGGTAAATAACCCCTGTAATCCTCATGCTTCTTATCTATGAATGGGTGTATTTCATTTCATTGTTGAGAAGTTCCACTGAATCTAACACTTGTAAAGCACTCTTTTGCCTGTAAGATACTCCTGGATCAAGCATCTCTACTTTTATCTTTTTCATTAACTAAATGCTTATTGCTTTCAAAAATCAGTAAGGAAAGATTTATAAGTGTTCTAAATTAAATTTTCTTTAAGATAATAGACTTGAAGATTCTATGTGCCACTAAGTCATAAGTACATTGTGGTTTCTTAGTAATGGGCACACATATAGGTTTGGGCTGCCTGAAGAGGTTTTTTTTTTCTTTTTCTTTTCTCTTAATGAAAATTAGTTTCAACATGAAACTTATGCTTTCAAAACATAACTTGCAAAGGTGGACTTATTATGCAAACAAAAGCATTTTCTTTCTTCAATAATTATCAAAGTTTCAGCCAGCTCTCCATTCATGCTGTTTGTGAGTTCAACATCCCAATTCAATCCAAACTATTAGAAATTTTTATTTTACAAATCTGCTCTGATGCTGTTAATCAACAGACACATTGATCAACATGTGAATTTTCCTTGCTTGAGAATGATTCTTCTTATGTGATTTATATTCTGCTTTAACTCCTTAAAACACTTTAAATAAGGTCCTGGCAGAGTACCTAATCTTCCCATATAGTCTTCAAGTTAATTTCACTTAGAGCACATGTTACTGGTTTCTTAGTAACTATGCCTTGTAATATGTCACATTTCAGATACTTTGTCATTAAAATTTTACATTATTTTCCAAATGAAAAAATAGACTGGTTCATATATCATACTTAACATTGACATTTTGCATCATATTCTAATTTTGTATTGAGAAAGGCGTAGTGAATATTAAGTAGGTTTTTTGTTTTTAAATCACAAAGGTATAAAATGAAAGAGCAAGGATTTGGCTTCCTTGGACACTAAGTTCAAGGCCACGAACTTACATAGGGACTTTCCTGATCTTATTTTTTTTCCTAATGTCCTACGACTACCTGTCCTCTCACTGAGGTACACTATTATAAACTATTAATAGTGTATTAATATGCTATAATATGATATATATGCAATAATATGTGTTCATTTCCTAAGCATGAGATGGAATTTCTGGGAAATGGAATGACCAAGATTCAGAGGACGTAATGGAAATACCATGTTTTCTGAGATGAAAACCAGTTTTTCTTCCTCAGCCAGCTTAGAAAGGCTGTCCAGAAGGTGGCGCCCCAGTCAAGAGATACACGTTTTTCAGAGTTTACTTCAGTGGAGACCTCACTTCTGTCTCAGCTCCTGCAGAATCCAGCCCTGTACATGAGTCTGATAGAGCCATTTTCTTAAGATATTTCTATAATTTTTATCAGACAATAAATTATAAAGGCATACATATAAGAAGTAATGTTAACTGTATGTTTTAAAGTATGGACATAGTATTGTATGTCATTTTCATTCAATGTCTTAAGGTTGCTAGTTATTTAGCAAACAAATAAAAAATATCATAGTATTCTCTAATACTTGTGTATTAGAAATTATATATAAAATCTAGTATAACAATTATTCCTTCTCCTTTAGTTAAAGAAAAGGTTTCCTGTCTCCATGCTGACTTGTCTCTTCTAATCCCAAAATAACCTTTTCCACTATTTCAACACCCACTGAAAGCTTTTGTGTCAATACTGTACACACCTCTACTTCTGCCATAGGCCTTGTTTTACATCACTGAATTCACCTCTTTTCATGTCTAACCTGAGAGAACATTTATTGATCTCTTACTGACTTATCTCTATATGTCAGGACTTAGTTCAGATACACAGCAGGAGAGAAATAGATACTGGAGGAAGGAAGGGCAGTAAAAATAAATGTAGGAGATGCAGGCAGCAAGCAGGATAAAGAAACATAAATTTAGACTTCAGTTATCCATGCCATAAGAGAAATGGCCACATTATTAAGCCATGCATCTCCATCTAAGTAGTTTATTCTAAAGTAAGATTTGATAATATTTTAAACACATTGGATTAAATGTTTGTTAAGCTTAAAATGACTATAAGAAAACAATTCAAATCACCTAAGATGTTATAATAAGGTCACAGATATTTGGATTCATTTGAAACTAGAGTAAAGCCAAATGAAGTCAGAAGCCCTAAAATCGTGATTCCTAAAGAGGATCCCTGCTTAGCTATAGTTACTCGACTTGGGAACAAATCATAATACAAATTCAGAGGATACACCCAAACCAGCATAACCAGAAGCTTCCTCCTCCCTCTCCCGTCCCCCTACTGAATCTGATCATTTTAGCAGCTGACTATGATATAGTTAGCAATATGAAGGTGTAGCATGGGTACTTCATTGTCCTGTCAGATTTACTTGTACCTCCCAAAATCCTGAAACATAAAACCCAGTGCATAGGGAAAAATGTCTCTGGATCAATCTTATAAAGCTTAATGGGCCACGCTAGGTGGAGAGTTTTGATCAGAGATTAATTAACAGATTAATGAGAGAATAAGAGAATGAGTGTCAGACAATGAAGACAAAAGCATAAACATTACTAAGGGATCAGTGGGAGAACTGATCTAGATATAAACTAAAAGTCATGTGGAGACTATAGAAGCATTAGGCAGTGAAGTACGGATTTCTCAGACTGAACAGGCATGG